TGGGCTAACCCCTGTTAAATCAATTGTTTGGGGGGTTCGCATAGCATTGAAAGTTCTTCTATTATATAGATCATCAGTTAACTTTCCTAATTGCATGCAATGGTCTCTGACACTTGGGGCACCCAAAACTTCAACATCAAGACATGCCTTGAAAAAAAAACAAAAAAAATCATCTCATCTGCATTATTTGTACTGATATTACAAAATAGTGCATATAGCATACTTAAATAATGATTAAACTAAACATCAAAATAGATGATAGCATAGATCCTTTAACTTGTCGAGAGAAGTAGACAGACAACAAACTGCTAATTTCAGAGACACACAGAGTAAAATAACAGTCAATCAGGCAGACAATTCCAGGTTCTACAACTATTGGATGATTGGCCTAAACAAACAAATTAACCAGCAAATATATAGAAGGATTGGTTCATTTGCTGTGGACCTCAGATGCTCCAAAAAACACATATATATGCAAGGCTTCTGGGCAAAAAAAGAATGGCACAAACTATCTAATTTCACTCATGCAGATTTAAGTGTGACCAAACAAAACAAACTAGACTAACAGTCGAATTCCTGCCAAAAAATCAGATAATTTGCTCAGCCTACTGATCACAATTGCAAAAGTTGAGAATCAAAAGGAAAAAAAAGACCAATTGAAGACTTTCACCAATTTCATAATCAAGCAAAAACCAACTTACATGGGGCTAGATTGACAAAAATTAGACTCCTATGTCACCAAACAAGCAAATGCCACGCTTTTCCAACATTCACATAACAAAAAAAGATCACCAACACACAAGCTCAATGTTCAAAGAAGTGGCATTCAGATAGCATTAAGGGATCAGGTATCAGATAACTCTCGCATGTGACATTCATCCATCTGTAACTGGAATTAAAACACACAGACATATCGGACACCAAAAAAAATAAAAAAGGAGTGAACTATCTCTAAGCAGTACTACTCTTTACTAACAAAACAACAAATGCAATCATAGAAAACAAAAAAAATTAAAAAAACACATATGATCTGTATATTATGGATTAAAAAATAAAAAACATGAAAAAAATTACCTTGGGAGCATTTAACAACTGATTGGCACGAGATTCAAATTTAGCTTTCTTGTTCATAATAGGAACATTCCCTGCAAAAAAATGAAAAAATGAAAAAAAAATCAATACAAAACAAAAACAAAAAAATAAATAAAAAGACACAGAAAGCAAACTCACTAGATTGAGAATTGCCATGAGCCATCACTAAAGGAGTGTCCAGGACCAAAATGGGATTCTTCATTGAATTGCCATCACCAGATTTAATTGCTTCTCTGGATTCACTTGCATTCTGCAAAAAAAAAAGGTTCAACAAGAAAAAAGAAAAATTAACTCAACAAAACATTTGAACAAAAAAAAAACCTACAAGCGAGGATTCATATTATATGGATTAGTGGAATCCACATTTTGTTTGTTTCCTATAGGGTTGCTGGCTTTGAAATTTTCTTCAACAATGCGTCTATTGGACTGCTCGTTGATATTTGAACTGTGCCGATTATCTACGTTGTTAAAAGCAGACTCTAAAATATCATACAAAACTACAAAAAGTAATGTGATCGGCAAAAGATTCAAACCAAAAAAGAAAATGAATACCTCTCACAACTGATGGAACAGACTTATTAATATCATTGACTCTATTGTTTTGAGGAAAGCGGGGGGGACAACGTTTTTCTCTTTTACCTCATTGGCGTTCTGTGCAGCATCTAAGAGAATCTGAAGAACGCTGAGAATTAGACTCTCAGTGGGCAACAAACAGAAATTGCACTTCCCATATGAATTCTCCTGAACAAGCTTGCATAACTCATCAACCACCTAAAGGAAGAAAGAAAAACAATGAAAATGAAGTGAAAATAAACAAGCAACATAAAAAGAAAAAGCATATAGACAAAATAAATTACATTTTTAGGCAAAAAAATCACCAAAATACATAGTAAGCTTCTCCCTGAATCCCATTGATTCACCATTAGCCTATATTGTGCAAAAAAAGAATACATTAAACAACATAGATTAAAAAAACTAACTCAAAAAACAAACCTTATCTTGATCATTACAAACTCCATTAACTTCTCGGGGGACTCCGTTGGCCTCATTCATTTTCTAAAAGAATGTAGAAAAAACAACTGTTGCACATGCCAAAAAATGGAAAACAGAAAAACAAGGGGGTGCAGAAAAAAAATACCTTGGATTTGCAAAAAACAAGAAATTCCTCCAACAAATTGATATTTGCAGTAGAAATGAATGACTAAAAACAAAACAAAAAAATAAGAACAAAATATTTATCACTCATACAACTAGTACAACACACACAGGTTCAAAACCTTTGTGACCTTGCGCTGCTAGAGTACTTTCCTCAACTACACGGAAACAATTGCTCCTATCAGCCATCGGTACCTGAAAAAATTAGAACAAAAAAAATTAACCTGCCGAGTCAAAGGACTAATTGAAATGCTGGCCACATAAAAAAAAGATTGGAAAAATCTGCACTGATGAAAAAATAGGTGCCTAACAATGAAGTCCAATTTTACCAAAAAAACACAAATCCTGAATTGAAAAAAACACATATATGGGATTACCCTAATTAGATAAAAAAAACATACCAAAACACCACAAAAAAAATCATATACTTTATACAATCTGAAAAGCTCAAACACTTAATCAGGCTCTTCTTCCCTCTCCAATACAAACTGAAACTAATTATGAACATTTAACCTACATATAAAACACTAAAAATGAAAAGAAACTGCAGATCATCTAATGGAAATAAAACAAAAAAAACGAATTAGCATACATAAATAAAAACTGCAAAATCAAGCAAACAGGTAACTGGTGTTTAGGTAACTGCAATTAAACTAAATCAAACACATACCAATAAACTAACCCATACAATTTCAGGCATCAGGTAGCATTTGAAAGTATAAAAAACGCTGAAAATGAAACTGAAAACTAAAAATGGAATGACAACAGAGTCTTGCCTTTGTGTTAGTGGTTGGGGTGCATGCTGAGACGAATCGAATTGTTTCGTTGCAATCGTCACCAACCATAACCAAATGACAATAAAATAGACTACGAGAGCAGAGCAGGTAGGCAAAATATTATGTGGTAGGTAATAACAGACTAGCAGAGCAGAGCAGACCAGAGCAGGTGGGCGAAATACTAGCAGCAAGCAAGCAAATCTAGCTAGGTCCTTACTCCTACCAACCGAGGCAAGTAAGGCAAAAACGATGGATGGATCATAGATCAAATACTAGCTAGTACTCACAAAAATACTGCACTTCAAAATCAAACAAAATGAACATGGTGTCCTGCATCGAACACCCCAAAAACACAAGGAGAATACCAAAAACTCCTAAAACTCAACACAGAATGGGATTCTCAGATCCAACATCGAACTAAACTGAATCCCCCGCAGCAACCACTATGGGAGAAACCCTAAACGGCGAAAATGAAACACAACTGCCATTGAGACTAGAATCTGAACAAGAGTAACACAAATACACACCAAATCTGCGATACCTGTCGCCTAAACGCATTACACAGAACCACACATACAGCCTAGAACCTGAACATGAGTAAACTAAACTCCACCCCCAGATCTGCGTAGAAAAAAAACAACATCGACGGGGTGTCGAACGCCCAATCTAAGCAAACACAGATTCCACACATCGTCGGAACACAATGAATAACACAGAAAAAGGGCGCGCAAATGAGATAACTTAGCTCCACAAAGACGCGGAGCTGCAAGTCGCCACGACGCCGGAGAATGAGTCGACCACGACCGGGGGCCGCCGAGTCGCCGCGACGGGGGAGCGGCGAGTCGCCCCGACTCGTCTCGAAGAAGACGAAGCGAAATGAAATGGGGAAAGGGGAAATGGAAGCCAAAACTTCGGGCGTGACTCCCGAAAAATCAAAACAGTAACGCACTCAGCTAGGCCCCACATGTCACAGAAACAAACCCATCAGCACACGACAAAGAGCAGATCGAACGCTGCAGAACAAAAAAACATCATAGATCGGCCAAAAAAAACAGTTACTCAGCAACAACAAAACAACCGGGCACTGTTTAGCATTCCTGTATATATAATATATATATATGACTATACTTCATGACATATTGACATGAGTGTTTTTGTTTGGAAATAATGGGAGGAAGTGTTCCTCTGTTTGTGAGAAGAACGCTTACTTATGTTCTATTGTTGTGAGTAATAAAGCTATGGTTTGATTTAGGACAAAACGAATATCTCATTGGGGATTAGAATTTACAACCTCAGATTTAAGGATCGCTCACTGATAACCTGGACGATCTAGCAATGGACACAGTTTTCCCAAATTTTGACACTGATTTCTTAGCTGAAAATTACTAGTATATGCTCGCAGAATTCCAAATCCAAGTAAAAGGCGGTTCCAGCTTAGCAGCACACCCAAATTCTGAAATGTGAAACTGAATCAGAATCACTAACGATTTGGCCAACTTCGCCTCACAACTAATCTCTGACAAGTTTTTGCATTTGTAAGAATGAACGACTTCGGAATTCCAGGGGTCAAAGTTTATTTGTATCGTTGTAAGCATGATGAAAATCATTATGACTTCATGAACCTTTTGGTCAATTCTGACGACCCCCCAGAACCAGAAATTTTCACATCGAATTTGCTACAAACAGTACTGAGCGACAAACAGTACTAAAAAAACTTCTGGAACATTAGCTTGGTTACAGGACTGCACTGCACTATCAGAAACATTGCATCTGAGCGACAAACAGTACGAAAATGTGACATTACGTCAGCCACAATATAAACCAACTAAAGCAGTAGCTCGTCAGCTACTGAAGAATCAATCACACAGTCCACCATCCATCACAACTAGTAATTGCTAAAGAGTAACAGCACCCCATGAAGCAAGCACACCTTCATGTGGGCGATACAATCCAGACATTGAACACATGCTAACACTACTACGGGAAGCTAAATCCGCCGCCACCGATTAGCTCCCTGGCGCCCGCAGGAGGGCTGATGTAGACCCAGAGCAGCGAGATGGTCATGCAGATGAGCCCGGACCAGACGAACACGATGGTCGGCACACGGCCACGGCGGCCCAGAAGGCCCTTAGCGAACGGGTAGAGGTGGCACAGCACCCAGAAGCTGAAGAAGGCGCCGCCCAGCAGCTTGCTCCACTGCGGGAACTCGCTGTACAGCGTGCGCGCCGACGCCACGGCCACGGCCACCGCGTTCACCATCATGATCGTCACGGGCGGCACCATCAGGAAGCTCCACCGCACCTCGTACAGCTCCGCGAACGCGTCCTCCTCGCCGTCGTCGCCGGCGCCGCCGGGCTTCGACGTCAGCGTGAAGGAGATGTCCACGCCGGCGATAACCTTGAGGAGGCCCTGCAGCACGGCGGCCGGGTGCGCGCTGGTCCCTCCGATCACCCAGAACTGCTCGTTCCGCCACCACTCGTTAAGCGTGACCCCGGACCACTTGATCTCCAGCAGCGCCAGCAGGCAGAGCGTGATGGTGATGATGAGCAGCAGCGCCAGGAACGTGGCGTTGAGCGACTGCACGATGAACTTGCCGGAGAAGAGGGACACGGCCGGGAGCACGCAGTAGACGAGGAGGAAGACGGAGGTGAACGGGTACATGCCCACGTTAAAGTAGGCCACGCGCTGGAGGAACTTCATCCGCGGGGACGCGAACAGGGCGTTGTTGCGGGAGAAGAAGATCTCCACGGACCCCGTCGCCCACCGGAGCACCTGGTGGAGGCGGTCGGTGAGGTTGATGGGCGCCGTGCCGCGGAACGCGTCGCGCCGCGTCAAGCAGTACACGGACCGCCACCCGCGGTTGTGCATCCGGTACCCCGTCACCACGTCCTCCGTCACCGACCCGTAGATCCACCCGATGCGCCGCCCCCACTCCGTCTTGTCCTCGTAGAAGCACGAGATGACGCTGATGGCCTCGGCGACGGTGGCCGCGTCGAGCGGCTCGCGAGGCACGGCCAGGGCGCCGGCGGGGCGGCCCTGGTGCGCGCCAGGCGTGTCCTGCAGGAGCCGACCCTGGTACTCCGCCACGGGGATGGACGCCACGAATGTTGCCGAGCTGCCGAACCGCCGCGGGAGCAGCGCGGACGACTCGATGTCGTCGAGCTGCTGGAAGGCGTCGTCCTCGATCGGCGGCAGCATCATCTCCCTGTCGTTGTTGTTCTCCCTGTCCGTCTTTTTTCCCATGGTGGGCTTCCTCAGGAACAGCTTGATCTTCTTCCTCCCGAGCCAGCCGTGGTGCTCCGTGGCGCGCGGCGGGCTGAACCCGTACAGCGCGGTGCGGCGGAAGACGCAGCCGGTGCCGACGTACATGGGGCCCTGCAGCCCGTCCATGGCGCGCATGGCCACGTCGAAGAAGACGAGGTTGTGGTTGGCGTACCGGTCGTTGGGGTCGATGCCCTCGAACCGCTGCGGGAACTGGACGTAGCAGACGCGGTCGCCGCCGCGGTCGAGCATGAAGCACATCCCCTCGCGGAGCGCCGCCGAGTTGTGCACGTAGTGGTCGCAGTCCAGGTTGAGGATGAAGGGCCCGTTCGACATGATGGCGCTCGTGCGCACCAGCGCGTTCATGGCGCCGGCCTTCTTGTTGTGGTCGTACCCGGGGCGCTTCTCACGGGACACGTACACCAGCATCGGCAGCCGGATGTCCACGCCCGTCGTGTCGATCAGTCCGCCGGACTCCGCCGGCTCCGCGCCCAGCACAGGCTCTGACGTCGGAGGCGCAAGCATTGCCTGCAACTCAATTTCAGGCACACATCAGCATCTCGAATGAACAACTGAACAAATTTGTAAATTTTTCTATCAATCGAGCAATCAATCACCTGAATGATGCCGGCATGGTCACCACGGGAGTGGTCTGGCGCAGAGGTGAGCCAGGTGCCAGGCCACTGCGACCCGTCAGACATCCATGTCGCCTTCACGGTCGCCGCTGCCTCAGGCAATGCTCCGGAAAGGGTGCCGGCCGCCATGGCCTCCTCCTGCTGCCTTCTCCTGGCGCGCAGCTCCTCGCCGGCGTTGTACGCGTCGGAGCGCCGGCGGATGGCCTCTGGCAGCGAGTTCACCCTCACCTTGAACTCGTCGTACTCCCGCTTCACCTTCCGCCGCTCCCGGACGAAATCCACACGCACCTTGTTCCTGAGGAAGTCCCTCTTCTGGCCGAAGTAGGCCTCCGGGCTGCGCGGCTCGACGCCGTGCTTGCGGCAGAACGGCACCCAGGTGCGAGCGAAGCTTGCGGTCTCGGCGAGCGCCTCAAAGGTGAGCAGCGCGCCGCCGTCGTCGGAGAGGTAGCAGGCCAGCTTCTCGACCGGGTAGTCGGCGGCGAGGATGGAGAGGATGGTGTTGGCGGTGACGAGCGGCGGCTCCTTTTCCGGGTCGGCGGTGGAGACGAAGACGTCGATGCCGGGCAGGTCGGAGTGGCCCTTGGGGTTGCGCGCGGTGGGCAGCTCGAAGCGCTCGGCGAGGACGTCTAGGTCGGCGGCCCGGTGGATGGGGCAGAGCTTGGGGAGGCTGTCGAGAAGCCAGGAGAAGGCGAACCAGACCTCGCACGTCACCGAGAGCGCCCACAGCCACACCGCTTCTGGGTTCGGGTGCCGAATGCGCCATGTCAGGAAGAACCCCAGCGCCACCAGACGGATTGCGATCAGCAGCCTGCACCGGAACAGAGCAACGAGCAGAGTAAGGCTGGTACCTGTAAGGACTGAGGATTTCAGAGAGATTTTTTAAATCTCTTGCCAATGATTTGGTACCTGTAAGGACTGAGGATGGCCTGAGAGACGCTGGTCTTCCTGGTGAGCGGCCGGCGGCAGCGGGAGCCGAAGTTCGGCGGCTCCTCGAACCCAGCGAAGCCGGCGCCGCCACCGCCGCCGTGCCCGTCCTTGGGCCAGAGCGCGTTACCGTAGCCGTAGGTGCCCTTGGTCTCGAAGAGCCAGCGCGCGTGGTCGAAATCGGCCGGCTTGCCGCCGCCACCGTTGTTGCTGGGAATCTTCATGGAATGCATGATGGAGAAGCGCTTCGCCATGGAGGTGAGCGGCAGCTGTACCCGCTCCTCGGACGAGGAGACGGCCTCGTCGTCCTCGCCGTCGTTGTCGTCGTCGGTGTCGCTCCCCGCAGAGTAGGGCTCCTTGCACCCGGGGCAGTTCCCCGCGGCCGCGACGCAGTCCGCGTAGCACTCGCCGCAGATCATGAAGCCGCAGTCGCACGGCCCGCCGCCGCCGGCGCCTGAGGCCAGGAACGCCGGCATTTCGCAGCCGCGCATCTTGCACGACATGTTGGCGGAGGCCGCGGCCGCGGCGGCGGCGCTGCTGGCGGCGGAGATGTTGAGCACGTGGCCGCGCGTGGCCTGGTTGATCCCGCCCGTGAAGATGGTCCCGGAGATATAGCTCCTCTGCGGCGGCCGCACCTCCGCCGCGCCGCCGTCCTCGTACGCATTGGGCGCCGGCGCATCCATGGACTCAGCGGACGCCGCCACCGTCCGCTCCGGCGTGGGCGGGATGTGCACGGTGTAGTGCACGAACTCGTCGGCGCTGTCATCCACGCCGGCACCGCCGTGAAGCGACGCGTAGCGGCTGCCCCCGCCGCCGCTCCGGCGCACGGGCGAGAGCTGCAGCGTGGCGACGGTGGACGACCCCGCGCCCCCGAGCGAGTGCCTCGGCGCCGGGCTGGTGAGCCCGATCCCGCCACCGCTCCTCTTGATCACCCCGTCCCCGGGGCTCTCCGCCTTGCCCCTCGTCGGCGACACCGTCACCGTGACCTGCGACCCCGCCGGCAGCGACAGCCGCCGCGACATCGCTCCCCGAAATCAAATCGACTCCCCCACTAACCAACGAAACTACCGATCCAGACCAGCTCGATCGACGGATACCTCAAAGCTCAGCTCACATCCGCTCAGGAAAGCCCGGAGCTTGCACCCACTCCTCGCGCTCCCATGAACCCGTGGAATTTCGGAGAAGGTTTCCCCCCAAGGATCGGGCCGGGAATTATAGCGCCTCTGGAGGCTGGAGCTCGTGGGGGAATGAGTGATCAATCGATGAGCTCGCGCACCGAGGAGAAGGAGGAGGAGGATCTGGTGGGGCGCAGGGCGTGGCAGCGCCTGTATTTATTCCGTCGGATTCTTCGCCGTCGCTTTTTGAAACGGCGAGCAGAGTTGCCGGCCGCCCCCAACGGTCGGGTTGCGCCGACGTGGCCGCGCAACGGTCGGGGGCGAGAGGCGGATCCGGCCGCCTGTGTGTCATCGGACGGTGCACGTTTGTTTGACGCGAGCGGGCAATGAGGATGGTAGCCGTTTGGGAAGAGAGGGCAGGAAGCTATTGGGGGCCACGCGACAAGAGAGAGAGAGCGGGGGTGGGGACCGCGTGATACTGACGGGTGGGCCATATGAAAGGGGCTTGGGTTCGGCGGCAGCCGGCATGTGTGTTGAGGGTGCTCGTGATGGAATGAAATTGTTTGTGTTGTCTCACTCCGTGGTGAATGGTGATTAACTGCACAATTATACACAGAAGAAGAAGTCACCTCGTACTTGTATTCGTACCATTGGTTGTGAAAAATATTGGCCCCGTTCGCTGGTCTGAAACTTGGTTGAAACTGACTAGTTTTGTGAGAGAGAAATACTGTAGCGGCTGATTGATGAATAGTGGCTTCTGAGGGAGATCAGCCGGCTGGTCTGGTTTTACCAGACCAACAAACGGCGCCATTATCAGGGTTAACCGTTAACTGGGACCGCCAGGTGGGCCCCGTGGGATTAAGGCTAGTTTGGTGGTCTCCTCCCTAGAGTTTTCACTCTTTGATTCTCTGGAGTTACTGTAGCATGATGCAAAGCAGGTGAGAAAGTTCTAAAGTAATTCTGATGGAGATTAAAAGGAGAGCAATAATTTTTAGCTATCTACTCCTACCGTAAATTGATAAGTGATCAAAATTCAGTTGTGTTTTAACCGTTTGGTAGAGCTTCGTAGAATCCGCTTCGAAAGAGCTAGGAGCGGAGCTCTACTAAACAGGCCTATATAATGGACCCAAGCCTTACCTAGTTAGCTTCTACAGTATGTTTGTGTTTGGTCTTAGGAGCCAAGCCAAAATTTGCCTTTGGCTTGGCACACTTCTTTGTCCATCTTAGTTCATTTTGTTGGCCAAATTTTGACAAATCTATGGCCAACAAATTGATGACCTATGCCAAAATTTGACTTGGTTTGGAGGTGCTACAAACCAAATACATAGGCATATATCAACTTTTGTTGAATAGAAAGGTTCTTGCTTTCTTTTCTACTGTTCTTTTACATATAGACGGGCCACCGCTAATTGTCATACTTTGCTAACCAAGACAGATATTTCCCGATTTGATATTAGTACTCTACTCGTCAGCGAGTTAATAGAAAAAAGGTTCACCGCCGACTTTACTTGGTTAACTTGCATGTGCTCAACGACAATCATCAGACGGCTTTGTGCCGTTAACCCGGGTCCCACCGACTGTGATGCTTTTTTTTTTTGAGGGACTGTGATGCATGAGTGCATTGTACAGTGTGAAAGTCAACCCCTTTTGCCCTTCCATTTGACTGACCCTGCTCTGGTAGTCGGGTGCTGCATGAGTGCATTGTACAGTGTGAAAGGCCCTATTCGCTTCTCTTATAATCTGTCTTTTTCAGCTTGTTTTTTTAGTCGGAACAACTCTCACAACAAATCAGCTAAAACAGTGTTTCGGCTTGTTTTTTCAGCGAAACGAACGGGACCAATGCAGCACCTGTTCAAAATAGCTCCGGTAGATTTTAACATCTTACTAGTTAATAGTAGCCCAACTAACTGTTTATTTGAAACTATTTAGTTAATGAATAGTTATTGGCTAGCTCTTATACTAGCTAAGTGTTGCTAAGGTCCAATTTAGATCCACCGAGCTAATAGTTAATTAACTACTAATAAAACTTAGCTGTGGTGGGCACCCATCTAATTTTTAACTAGGCCCGTACTCCCTCCTTCGTGCAGAAAAAAAACGTAATTCTCTAGTAGAATTGCATTTTTTTTCTGGACGGAGGGAGTAGCTAACTATTAGCTGTGTTTGTTAGAGAGAACCAACTAACAGCTAATTGTTAACTGGGTGATACGCAAGACACACTAGCGAGATGGATAGCTCCGAGGGACCCAAATAGATTCTAACAATTATCTCACCAGCTATCTCGACCTAATTGTCAGTGGTAAAAGTACTTCTGTATGAATTTGTAAGGGGATAAAGTGACAATTTTCATGAACTATATTGGTATACCAACGCGTATTGCCAGAACCTTATGAGTTATATATAAACATTAAATATTCATGCTTAATATATACAATCAATTAAAAATATTGTTCTTAATTTGCATCCTTATGAGTTATAAACATTAAATATGCATGCTTAATATATAGTTAATTAAAAATATTGTTCTTAAACTACTTGCATCTAGATAATGTTAGGACACCCTTAATATTATGAGCTACTCTCTCTCTCTTCTAAATTATAAGACGTTTTGGTTTTTCTAGATACACTTTTTGTGCACTTAGACATAGTGTATATATAAGTGTATAGCAAAAGCTACGAACCTAAAAAAGCCAAAACATTCTACAATTTAGAATGGAGGGAGTGGTTACTAGCTCTAAGACAACTTATCCAATGATATTGACTCTCAGTACCTAACTTGTAATATGTGTAACCTCACGTGACATCCTCACGTGATCTTGAAATATGTGTATGAGAGTAGCTCTTGATAAAGAGATAGTTTTTATCTCTCCTCTATTAAAATATGCAATAATATGTTTAGAGCTAGCTTATAAAACACCATTATATTGAAGCTGCCCTTAGAGACCACACAATGTGCCTTTTACCTTTCTCCTTTACTGACAAAGCAAATATATTAAAGATATGAATTTTTTTACAATGGTTTGGGGAATTTCGACGGCTCACGTCGCACGATCGGACGGCTAGGAAGGCAGAAAGCGATGAGAGCGAGGCGATGGGAGGCGATAGGTGTGTCTATGGTCGATGGACCCATATACGTCACGTCGCCTTCCATCACCTCTAAAATTGAGGGCATTAGAACTACAAATAAAGGAGTGGTAATTTATTTTTTTCATAGTTCTTTTATTTAATAAAGGGTAAAAGGGTAAATCCATAATTGCAAAAAAAATGTTTTGAATAGTATAGCTATGGTGTATGATTCAGTTAAGTACTATAGTTAGATAAATATTTTCTTGAGTAGTATAGTTGGGATGAATAATTCAAGTAATATAGTTAGATAAACATTTTATTTCTAGGGTTCATCCAGGCCACCGCATCCTCCTCCGCTGCCGCCTACCTCCCGCCGGCGCTCTCGACCTCGCGCCAGGACATCCAGGCTGCCGTCGCCAAGGCTGCCGAGCTGCGCGCGAGGAGGGGGAGGTGGATCCGGCGACGCGATCTACGTGAAGAAGCCGGCGGCGGCCGCGGCCGTGACGACGAGGGACGAGACGTCGATGGCGATGCCGACGTCGTTCATGACGGGTCGGTGGTCGGGAAGCGCTTCTACCGCGACACCACCGTGCGGCGCGCCGACGACGGCAACGGGTGGACCGTGATGCTGGACTACCGCACCCTCAAGTCGCCGGCCAAGCGGCCCCACAAGCTGCCCTCGCCCACGCTCGCCATGGCCATCGCCGCCGAGTGGGAGTACCAGGTCCTTAAGCGGTCCTCTCTTTCTTCTGCTGTATTCTTCAAATGATTCGACAACGTCCTGTTACTTTAGTGCAATGTAAATCTCCCCAGGCCCTGAATTTCGTGTTGACTTATGCTCAAGCAATTTCAAATGGTTTGGATGGAAAAACTGTCTGATTAGCTCCTAACTCTTCCTGGTCTAGCTTTAGTAGTTAGTTCATCCCGGAGCAGTAGTGAATTACTTCAGAGTTTTGCGAACATTCGTCACACTCTTATATTTATGAGAAACTTCATGCTTTGTTTTTGTGAAATGACAGGTGTTGTAGTTGACGTGGGTGATGGGGCTACCCACATTGTTCCAGTTGCTGACGGATATGTCATTGGGAGCAGTATCAGATCAATTCCAATTACAGGCAAGGATGTTACCCAGTTTGTTCATCAACTTCTAAAGGTAGCTTCCTTTGCTTTCTTGTTGATTGTCACAAGATACTACTCAACTTTCAACTTATCTAGAGAAACTTACCAGATGTAAAGGAAATGAAAGATTCCAGAAAACAGTACTTTGTTCAACAGAGAATAGAACATAATAGAATTACAAAATTGTGGTTAATTTGGAGAAGTGGATATCAGACTGGTATACTTCTTTTGATGTAAGGAGGATTAAAGAAATGTACTGCTATACTTCTTCAGACATTGTGAAGGTATTTAATTACATTAAGTGCCTTGTTATGTTACTCGGTGAACATATATACTTTGATTCAGAAGAATATTTATTTTAGAAAAAGAAATTCAAAATAACGTGGGTGGAGGAGGTTCTTTTTCAAAGTATTGTATAGTGGCCCCCTAGCTGAACCATTGAAACAGATGAAGAACAAGGTGGTCTGCTGGAAGTGTAAGTTCCCAATGAAAATCAAGTTCTCCAGATGGAGGATAAGGTGGTCTGCTGGATGAGGAGTTTTAGCCCCATTAAGCAAGATGATGGCGACAGACATCTATGAAACTTAATATCTGTAATAGGGCTAGATCTCTTTTGCTGTCACAGGAAAGATTTGAGTTTCAGCTGTGTAGTTCACTTGGTTTGCTAAACTGAAAGGCTAATTTTCAAGTCGAGGGTGTGCCTGGATGTTATTATATAGACCATT